AATTAAGTCTTTGCATCTAACTTGCTTATAAGGATAGAATGCATTTGCCACAAGATATCTGTTCCTTGTTACTCAATTTCTTACTGTATAAATCAATAAGTTGCCATTCTGTCTTGTACATCATTCTTTTGTGAACTTTGTTAGGATGAAATAGCTTCCAGAATTTGATTCCCTAAGGCACTGGCAGTGGAATGCCGGACCTTCCCTGGGCAGCCTGTTCTTCCAGGCAGCTCCCTTCAGGGCCACACCCAGAGTCCGTCACATCCTTCTCTCCGACTTCTGCCGGCATTACTTAGGAACTAAACATTTAGCTCTGTAAATAATGTGTTATTTCTCTGAGCTTTTTCCAAAAGGCATTTATAAAAGGGTTTTGTGTGTGTGTGTGTGTTGTAAAGGAATATGTAAAATTTTGGTTAAGTACAGTTGGGTCTCGACCTTTTTTCCTCCTAGGACCTGGCAAACCACTTTGAAAATTCCCTTATTGGCTATAAATCTTCTAGACAGTTCCCTGTTCATTAGTACCATGAAATGTTTGACATGAAGTTATCTGTGAACTTAAATCTATATGCCTACACGAGGGTCCCTAGATACTGCTGAAAATTGTATACTTCCCCTTTTGAGATGTTAGGATGCTTGTTAGCAGATTAAAGATGCTGGGGAGTCTTACAGTAAGAACCTTGTTTAACTTTGTACATTCTGGGTTTAAATGTACTTGAACTGCTCAACTCCAGTCCATCTTCCCTTTCCTACCCACAAGCAAGCCCCAGCTAGCAAACATGATTGGTTTCACTTTTCCTCCTTTGACCTTTCTGCATCTGGTCCTAAACCACACAAAATCATGACTAGAAAGGGTTTGGCAGCATTGCCTTAGGTAGCAATCTAGTAAGAGCAGCTTAGTCCTTAAAAATCACTTAGCTGTCCTAGCACTCTGGGACCCCAAGGCGGGTGGATTGCCTGGGCTCTAGCTGGGTGTTGCACCTGTAGTCCCAGATACTCAGGGAGCTGAGGCAAGAGGATGACTTGAGCCTAAGAATTTGACGTTGCTGTGAGCTGTGATGCCATGGCACTCTACCCAGGGTGAGAGTGAGACTCTGTCTCCAAAAAAAAAAAAAAATCACTTAGCCATGCTAATTTTTGAGTTTATATATTTATTTTTATTTGTATAAATTACGCATACAAGTGAAATTTCATTATATGCATAGATTGTGTTGTGGCGAAGTCAGATTTTTTTGGCTGTCCTTCACTCCAGTAATGTACCCTGTACCCATTAAGTAATTTTGCATCATCAACCACCCCACCACGCCTCAAGCTTCCGAGTCTACGTTATCTGGCATTCCACACTCTGTATCCAGGTGTTGTACACATTATAGTGACAGCATGGAACACTTTCTCTCTGTGTCTGACTTCTTTCACTTCAGATAATGACGTCCAGTTCCACCTGTGTTGCTGGAAAAGACCCGATTGCACTGTTTTTGTGACAGAGTCGTATTCCATTATGTGTGTACCACAGTTTGCTTTCCCAGTCATCCACTGGTGGATGCGTTAGGTCGATTCCGTAGCTTTGCTGTTGTGAATAGTGCTGTGATAGATATATGAGTGTGGGTATCTGTTCTCCTTTGGGTAGATACTCACGACTGCAGTTGCTGGAATAGTAGTTCTACTTTTAGTTCTTTGAGAAATCCCCATATTGTTTTCCATAAAGTTTGTGCTAATTTATATTCCCACCGAAGGAAAAGTAGGTTAAGAGTTCCCTTTTCTCCATATACTTGTCCATATCTTTTGTTTTTGTCTTTTTAATATGCCCCATTCTGACTGATGTAAGATTCCTCGAGCATTTTTTCCTTGTGTCTGATGGCCATTTGTTTGTCTTCTTTTGAAAAATGTCTGTATCCTTTGCCCACTTTTAATGGGATTATTTGTGGGGTTTTTGTTGTTTGAGTTCCTTATAAATTCTGGATATTAATCCCCTGTTGGATACATAGTTTGCAAATATTTTCTTTTATTCTGGAGGTTATCTGTTTACTCAATTGATTATTTCTTTTGCTGTATAGAAGCTTTTTAGTGTCATTAAGTCCCAGTTGTCTATTTTTGCTTTTGTTGCCTATGCTTTTGAGATCTAAGTCATGGGTTCTTTGTTAAGACCAACATCCAGAGAGTTTTCCCTAGGTTTTCTTCTAGGATTTTTATAATTTCAAGTTTTACATTTAAGTTAATCCATATGTATTGTTTTTTAAAATAGCAGTCATTATTATTAAAGCAGTTAGCACATTAATAAACTAGTGCTTGCAATACTATCTTACATCTGTGTGCATCCTTGTAGCTCTCTTCTGTATTTCATATGTGTTGTCTTAGCCTGTGACTAGACCAGACCTGTGAACTAGACGGGGCAAACATTGTAATTCCTGACTAGGGGAGAAGTGACTTGGGTTCAGAGTGTTCTGGTAATTTGAATAAGACCATATCACCAATTAGCAGGGTTGGGATTATTAGATCTCTGAATTTCTAACTCCTGGGTTCAGTGAATTCCTTTTCCACAATTGTTCATTAGCCAACCTTTACATACTACTTTACTTTTTGCTAATCCTTTCAACTGTCATCCTCACCTCCCCTTGACAGGTTATTCATTCATTCACTGATGTCTACTGAGTGTGAGATACAGTGCTGTTATGGTGAATGTTTAAAAATGAACCAGGAAAAGTTCTTGCTGAGAGATGCTTCTAGTTTAATGAGACGGGCAAATGGAGCAATAAACACCAGTATCTGAGATAGACTGGTACAAATGTTAGGGAACACACTTGAAAGGATGACTAATGTGATGTCTCTTCCGGTGGAGAATGTACGAGAAATCACCACAGTAAGACTTCAGCTAAACTGGGCCAGAAAGGATCAGAGGATTCCTGCATGCAGAGAGTAGAGGCTATAACGGTTCAGGGATAGGTCGTGTGAAGACTTGGAGGCATGAAAGAGTCATGTGTTTTGGGAGAAGAGTGAGTGGTGAGGAAGAATGGCAGCAGATAAGGCTAGCAAGTTGGAGTTAGGAGTTCTGACTCCACAGTTCACTAGCTGTGTGACTTTAACAAGCCTCAGTTCCCTACTTTACAGGGCTGTTGTGAATATGAAATGCAGTCGTGCTTAGGAACTGCCATTATCCTAAATCCTTAGAAGAAAAGAAGGGAAAAATCTAAGAGTAAAATATCATAAAGTTTGTGACACATTTCCACACTCCATGTATGGGGTTTGTTGTTCTTGATTTTGCTAAGCCAGTAGGACTTGCTGTAGGCAGTGAGGAGCCATGGATGGCTTTAAACAAGTGACATGATCAGTTTCTTTTTATGAAAAGATTTAAAGTAGTTTCTCAGCAGTGGAACAGTTTATACTGTCAAAACTGTAGGTTCAGTTTTAGACATAATGAGTATGACATTCAAGCAGTATATTGAGGTGTAAACTCAGTCAGACAAGAGTGGAACTAGGAATTTGTCTTAAACTGTTCGCTTTCAACCTGTACTTGACCTGCTTGACATTGAAGAATGAGAAAGTTTTCTTAGTTCCTGCTGTCATCCCTGGAATCTAGTCCAGTTCAGGTCCACATCTTGGGGGCATTATCTTCATGTAGAAGGTGGGTGTTGGGTGTTGGTGGAAGTTTTAGGGGAATGCTTTATAGCTAAGAATGAAACTTTTTTTTTTTTAAGACAGACTCTCACTTTGCCGCCTTTGGTAGAGTGCCATGTTATCATAGCTCACAGTAACCTCAAACTCCTGGGCTTGAGCAGTTTTCTTGCTTCAGCCTCCTAAGCAGCTAGGACCACGGGCGTGTGCCATTATGCTCAGCTAGTTTTCTGTTTTTAGTAGAGACGGGGTCTCTTGCTCAGGCTGGTCTCAAACTCTTGAGCTCAAGCAATCCATCACCTTGGCATCCCAGAGCGCCAGAATTACAGTCATGAGCCACCATGCCCAGCAGGAGTGAAACTCGGAATGGTCATTCTCAGCAAACTAAGTTATTTTTGGAGTGGCAAAGCCACTTTAATATATGAGTTGTTGTAGTCTTTTTGGTCCCGATGTGGCTATGGTAGGCAAGTCTCTTAGTGTCACTGCCCATGCCCATGTCAGCCACCAGAGTTCATTGTGTCCCCCACGAAGTAGCTGTTTTGCTATACTCCTTGTCTATACTGATTGTCCAGGTAGTCTTCTTCAAATCAGACCTTTGTTGGCTAGCCCCATAGTTTTTAAAGTTGGCACTTAAATGCCTTTAAGCAGACATACTGTCCAATTAAGGCCACACAACTTCCCTTTTGTTACCAGGTTTGATTCATACATTTGTGTTTCCTGCCAGGTTTCTATAGTTACTTGAATTTTGTTTGAAAATAAAATGGAATTCACATTCTGGAGAAGCATACTACACTTTGTTACAGGATTTTCTGGAATAACACAGAATTCAGAATGAAATAGGGAGGAGTCTATGTTTCTAAGCATAGTTTTCCCCTAAATTGGGTAAGAATTGCTTTCGACCGGTGCTGTGTCCACTTTGCGACAGTACTTCCTGTCTCATAGAATTTATATGGCAGAGGCTATTGCTTACTATTTAACTAAACTACATTAACTCTTAGGAGGCTTAATATTTTATCAGGGATAAATTAGCAGTATCTTATAAATACTGTTTAGTAATAAAAGAGAAATAGATTGAATTTTCTTGTTTGAAATGCTTGATTAGTATCGACCTTTTGTGTGAAAAATGTATCTGTATTATGTGTGGACGGCCCCTGGTAATTCTTTACTGTAACTCACCCCTGGTTTTGCCAGTATCGTATTTCTCTTGCTTCGGGAATAGCACATGTTTTCCTTTTTCCCCTGGTTTTGTATTATTTGTAATATGAAAGTCTTGGATGTATGAACTATTCAGGTAGAACCTTTCTTAGTAGAAATTAAACATTTCCAGAGTTTGTTATAAGAGATAGAAAGCTTTTTTTTCCTACTGAATAATCGGGTTTTTTGTGTTGTTTCAGTTTCTGTTACTATGGCAATGACGGCAGGGACTACAACAACCTTTCCTATGAGCAACCATACCCGAGAAAGAGTGACGGTAGCCAAGCTCACACTGGAGAATTTTTACAGCAACCTAATTTTACAACATGAAGAGAGAGAGACAAGGTATAGTAAAGGCTAGTCACAGTGTTGTCTGGTTAAATACGAGGTGATGCTGTGCGTGGAGACATGTTTGACATTAATACACATACCACGGTTATTGCATGCTGTTTGTAAAGTTGCGTCCCCAGTGTTTTGTTTCTGTATGTTCTGTTGTCCCCCATAAACAAATATACAAAAGTTAAGTTTCCGTCCTGATAGAGTACCTGGTTACTTGTATTTTGACAAAATAGTTTTCCTGAGTTCTTGTGTCCTCATAGACTTATATCACATGTTAATTGATATTTTAAACCTTTTCTAACCACAAAATTGTAATGTCTTTATACTTTTCTTTTAGAGGGATGCTTTATGACTAAGCCAAAAACATTCACAGCATTGTGTATCAGTGGGGATGGGAGAATAAAAAAATGAATAACATGTTATTTTGCATTCAGCAGACTTAAAGTAAGAGGGATAATGTGCATAAATGTTATAGGAAAGACTGAAAGGTATCCCTAGGGGAAGGACGCAGAAGGGAGAGAGAGAGATTGCTTCTGACTAAGGCAACTGGGAAAGCTTTGTAAATAGTGATGGCATTTAAACCAGGCTCTAAGAGAAGAGTGCTATTCATACATGCAAAAAAGGGAGGAGAAAAGAGGTAAGAGAGCGGGAGGAAGGACATTAGAGAGAGGAGCAATCACCTTCAGGTCAGGCAATGTCCAATTTAGTTCAAGCACAGGATGTGCTAGATTTTAACATCCTGGGAGGCTTGGATGCTTTGTTAATGTAGCTATTTTCACTGTAGTAGAGAGCCTTGAAGAGTCGTTGGGGTTTTTTTTGTTTTTTGTTTGTTTGTTTGTTTGAGATAGAGTCTCACTATGTTGCCCATGGTAGAGTACTGTGGTATCACAGCTCACAGTAACCTCAAACTCTTGGGCTTAAGCCATTCTCTTGCCTCAGCCTCTCAAGTAGCTGGGACTGGCTTGGCACCTGTGGCTCAAGTGGCTAAGGCACCAGCCATAGACACCTGAGCTGATGGGTTCAAATCCAGCCTGGGCCTGCCAAACAACAATGATGACTGCAACCAAAAAATAGCTGGGCATTGTGGCAGGCGCCTGTAGTCCCAGCTGCTTGGGAGGCGGAAGCAGGAGACTCACTTGAGCCTAGGAGTTAGAGGTTGCTGTGAGCCATGATGCCATGGCACTCTACCCAGGGGGACAGCTTGAGGCTCTGTCTCAAAAATAAATAAATAAACCAAGTAGCTGGGACTATAGGTGCCCACCACAATGCCCAGCTATTTTTTTGTTGCAGTTATCATTGTTGTCTGGCAGGCCCAGGCTGGGTTCAAACCCGCCAGCCTGATGTATATGGCTGGTGCCCTAACTGCTGAGCTACAGGCGCCGAGCCAAGCCTTGAAGAGTTTTGAGCAGAATTAAATCATGACAAATGTTTTCTGTGGATCTGTTAGTTGTGATGCCTAGAATGGTTTGGGGGCAGGATGGGAAATTAGAAACAGAAAAGGGTATTGATGTAGTCCAGGCAAATAGAAAGGAGGCTTGAATTAGGACTGATGACAGCTACAGAGAAGAACTGACAAGTGAGAAAGATTGATAAAGTGGGGGGCAACTAGCCAAATATGAACTACGAGACAAGTTATCAAAATTGGGCCTGCACTGTTATGCCTAGGCAAGCTGATACAGTTTCTCTAATCTGGTACAGTTTAGTGAAATAGGACTAGAGAAGTTGGCTCGGCTTTCAGACTTAGTTTTGGACTGATTTAACTGCAGAGTAGTTAAATCTGCAGTTTTAACAGACGAGGAGAGATTAGTGACTTAGAAAATAAAATGTAATTAATTATTCAGAAATCAACTTAAGAGTGGGACTACATGAAAGAAAGTTAAGAAATACAGAGAAGAGTAGTAAGAAAAGTAGACATATCTTTAATTAAAGTTCTAAAAGAAGAGAGGAATGAGAATGGAGCCAGAGGCAAGCAACAACTGGGAGTTCACCACCAGCAGCAGAAATTCTAGAAGGTTCAATTTAGGCAGAAGGAAAATGATCACAAATAGCGATCTAAATGGTAGATAGGTGGGTTAATGTCAATAAAAATTGTATAAAACAACAAAAATAATGATGATATCTGATTAAATTCAAAATCAGAATTAAATATTTTTCAGCAGAATATAAGGAGAGAAATAATTAGAATTAAAGTGTTCTTAAAGACCTTTGTAGAAAGGGGTTGAAGATTGATTAACTTAAGACTTGACAAGTTAGGTATGTATGTTGTAATTTCTAGGGTAATTTTTAGGTAACCACTGAAAGAATGTACATAGAGTTTATAATTTCTGAACTAGTAGAAGGAAAAATATAAGAAAAAAATCAGATCAAAAGACGGCAAGAGGAAAAGAACTGAAATACAAAAATAGAAAGCATAAAATAAGTTAGAAATAAATCGAAATATATCAGGGATTACGTTAATTATAAACATGATTAAGTCTCTGGAAGTGATTGGATCATCATGAGAAAGTGAATAAAGTAAAAGAAAAACAAGGTAAGAAAGATCCATCTTTTCTTCAAAAGGCAGGCACTTAAAACATTCATCAGAATTTTGAAGGTCCATAGTCTTTCTTTTTTTTTTTTTTTTTGCAGTTTTAGGCCAAGGCTGGGTTTGAACCCACCACCTCTGGTATATGGGGCTGGCGCCCTACTCCTTGAGCCACAGGTGCCACCCCATAGTCTTTTCTTGCTGAAACCTTAAAGTAATTCAGTTTTCCCCTCTATTTCCAAATAAAGGAAAGTAAGAATAAAGTTGTCTGCTGTTATTGAGGAAAAAAGCAGTCTCGGCTTGGTGCCTTGAAAGCCAAGTTAAATAGCTCATCTTTTCTTCCCTTTTCCCTGTCCTGTCCTGTCCTGTCCTGTCCTTGGCAGAGTTATCACTATGTCGCCCTCGGTATGAGTACAGTGGTATCACAGCTCAGAGCAACCTCAAACTCTTGGGCTTAAGCAATCCTCTTGCCTCAGCCTCCCAAGTAGCTGGGACTACAGGTGCCCGCCACAATGCTCGGCTATTTTTTTGTTGTAGTTTTCATTGTTGTTTGGCAGGCCCAGTCTGGGTTCGAACCCACCAGCCCTGGTGTATGTGGATGGCACCCCAACCACTGACGCACAGGCCCTGAATCTGAATAGCTCATATTTTCTAAAAATTTATACATGTGTGATATATTTTTAAAGCTTAACCTAATTGGAGAAATGCATAAGCCTACTAATATACTTATCCGAACAAAGTGTAAGAGCATTGGTAAGAGGAATACTGTTTTTAAAAAGGGTACAAGAGAAGTCACGGATCTTCCTGTGTGCAGATAGTAGAAATGGATAAACATTACATATCTGTCTCTTTGCAGAAAGAGGGATGATTTCGTGAAGTGTTTGTCTTGGCAAGGGTTGAGGAAAGAAAGGGGGGCAGAGGAGATTTGGGAGAAGAGTAAAGTTGCTTGTGTATTGATAGTTCCTCCCAGAATAATTGTGTCTTACTTTCCGCAGAGAAGAAAACTGTAAGTCATTTAACAGGCAGCTCTGACGTCTTCAGGGTACACTGATGTTAGGCGCTTATTCCATTCTGAGGGTTGAGGGTGTAAACCAATGATGAAAGTCAGTGTGATAAACACCTGGGTGCCTTGACTGAGCTGAGAAAGTGTGTGGAAGGAGAATATGTCTCATCCTTTTTATTGGGTGCTAAATTATGAACAAACTAGATACTTTGTTATGAATTTTCCATAAGAAGGCAAAATAAGTGATCTTAATGGTTTAGGACAAAGCTTACCTTTGGACTTACTGTCATGAATAACAAATACTAAAATATGATAATTTTAGTCCTTAACTCTTTTGATTAAATCCTGGAAAGTTTGTCACACTACAAACCTGATTGAGTGACATTCTCCCAGGTTTATATTTAGGAGATACCAATACCATAGAGATGAAATACTGTTATTCCCTTAGAAATGAATTATAAAATGTATTCCACAATCATCTCTCTAGTTTTGGTGACTTCATCCACCTTGCCTACTCCCACCCTACCAAATGCTTAGCTTAACTAACTTTAAGGATGCCGTGAAGGCTCGGCGCCTGTGGCTCAAGTTGCTAAGGCGCCAGCCACATACACCTAAGGTGGTGGGTTCGAATCCAGCCCGGGCCCACCAAACAACAATGACGGCTGCAACCAAAAAATAGCCAGGCATTGTGGCGGGCATCTGTGGTCCCAGCTACTTGGGAGGCTGAGGCAGGAGACTTGCTTGAGCCCAGGAGTAGGAGGTTGCTGTGAGCTGCAATGCCATGGCACTCTACCTGGGGGACAGCTTGAGGCTCTGTCTCAGGTAGTTAGTGGGTTTTAAAAATATATACATACAGGCCAGGGCTGGTGGGTTGGAACACAGGCTGGGCCTGCTAAACAACAATGACAACTACAACAACAGAAAAATACCTGGGTGTTGTGGCAGGTGCCTATAGTCCCTGCTACTTTGGAGGCTGAGGCAAGAGAATTGCTTAAGTTCAAGAGTTTGAGGTTGCTGTGAGCTGTGACACCAAGGGCGACATAGTAAGACTCTGTCTCAAAAAAATAAATAAGAAAGAAAAATGTACATGTACAACTTTCTAATTTTTAAAGACTTTTAATGGAATAAAATACACTTAGTTGCATTGAACATATTTCCTTCCTTGATTAATTAGGAAAATTAGGCTTATGAATTGAAGTGAAAGACTTAAACAAGATCAGTTAGCCAAGAAATGTTAGAGCCAGGAGATTCAAACACCTAGGTGGATATCCACCTTAAAAATTTAAACTTTTAGGGGCGGTGCCTGTGGCTCAGAGGAGTAGGGCGCCAGCATATGGGGCCAGAGGTGGTGGGTTCAAACCCAGCCCCAGCCAGAAACTGCCAAAAAAAAAATTTAAACTTTTAGTCATTATTGTTACCTTTTTAGATTTCTAGTGTAAACACTGAGAAATATTAATGATTTTGGAAGATTGATCATTAGATAACTGAGTTTTCCATAGTAAACATTAGTTACCTTTAGTAACACTTCGTTTAGGCAGGAGGGTAAAGTAAGCATTAGAAGTAAATTATTCCTGTGAGAATTCACTCTCCAATATTGAGTACATGTGATCTGTATAGAAAACGCTTCTAATAAATCCTCATTAGGTAGACCCCCCCCCAAAAAAAAAGAAGTAAATTATTCATTTGACTAGTATGAGAAAGAGAAATCTGGGTTTATATTTTGAGAAAGAAAACTTTTCTTAGTGATTATTTTGATCAACCTTGAAAGATTTTTTTTTTTTAAAGCATAGCAAACTACAGTCTTTAACTCAAATAAATAAATGTATATTTCTTAAGTGGTAATTTTTAGGAACATATTGAAAATTTATTTTTTCCTTCGAAAAGGCAGAAGAAATTAGAAGTGGCCATGGAAGAGGAAGGATTGGCAGATGAAGAGGTAATGTAATTACTTGTAATTACTGAATTAGAGTGTCCGTTATGGGTATCATGATTTTATAACTTTACATGATTTTATGATGTTTTATCTATGAATTTTATCATTTTAATATGGGCTTCTTTATTGCTATCATGGATATCTTTGGAAGGAAGCAGCTTATCTTTTTAATTCTAAGAATATATATTTAGTGAAAATTACAGTATCCTAGATGTGTAGAACAAGAAAACCAGGCTCCAGGAGGAATCGATTTATTGCAGATTTCTCTGAAATTTAACAATAAAACCATCTACTTGTCTAGTCCAGTGCTGCCAACCCAGTTTAAACTGCTGTACGTTTCACCTGAAGAGTAACTATCCCCAAGTGGTTTCTCTACTTCCCACCCCCGATTTTTCTGCATACTTAGCCAGAATAATCTGTCTAAAAAGAGATTTGATCACATCACTTTTTTGCTAAATAACTCTTCCGTGGCTCCCAGGTGATTGTGGGATAAGGGCAGACTCAGTCTACACTGGTCTGTAAGACCCTTCACCCGCTGGCTTCTGCTTATCTCTTTAGCCTCATCTCTTGCCACCCACCCTGTCCTGCAAGCTGACCGAGGTGACTGGCATCAGTGCTAGAGGCTGACAAATTAGGAAACAGCAGCCCACCTAAAGGGGATTGCCACTGTTGGCCCAGTATGGCCAACTTCCTGTTTTTCAAGAGAGAATGGAAATCTGGACTTTTATGTGGATTTGCCTGTTGTTTTTTTTTGTTGTTGTTGTTGTTTTTAAACAACAAGTAATTAAAATGTTTTAAAACGAGCTTGCAGCCCAAATCAAATAAGCAGCCCAAATCAAATCTGTAAGTTGAATACAGTTTTCAGCTTCCCATTTACAACTTTTGGTCTGTATTAGCAAATACTAACTACATTTATGGCTGTTTTCTTTAATTTTTCTGAATAACTAGTAGAAAATGTGAGACAATTTTGCCCATTAAAAAAAGTTAATGGCTCATAATATCAATTTATAAAACTTCTAAATTTTTTCTGTAAAAATATTTTTAATCCCATAAATGTTTATTGTTAGGACCCATGCTGCTTCTAGATTATGTCAAATTCTATAAAATAGACAAACTGTTTTAACCTTTATATAAAATATGCAGAACTATCTTTATGTGGGGTGGGGTTTTTTTCCTAAGGAAAGTTGTTTCATAAAAATAAAGTAGATGAAGTTGCTGGCTGAACTCTTTCATATCTCAAAATTTTTGTATACTCTACCTTTATAAAAACTGGGCACCCTATAGTTTGAGGAACACCTATATAAAAAGAAAGGAAAAAGGAAAAACAATTTCTAATTTCATTCTGCTTCCCGTCAGGCATGGAATATTATTTGTTCTAATAAAAAACCAAAATAGGCAAGTTTAGGCTGCAAAAGACAGCCATGAAATGTGAAGCCTGTCCACGAATTTTCACTGTCTTTGGAGAAGGAGAGAACATGAATACCACAAAGGTGTTGTTTGTTGGCCAGGTGCAGTGGCTTACGCCTGTAATCCTAGCACTCTGGGAGGCCAAGGCGGGTGGATTGCCTGGGCTCCCACGTTTGAGACCAGCCTGAGCCAGAGTGAGACCCCGTCTCCAAAAATAGCCTGGCGTTGTGGCAGGCACCTGTATTCCCAACAACTCAGGAGGCTGAGGCAAGAAAATCACTTGAACCCAGGAGTTTGAGGTTGCTGTGAGCTGTGACGCCACGGCACTCTACTGAGGGCAACAAAGAGAGACTCTGTCCCCCAAAAAATATGTTGTTTGTCTTTCAGTGCTACATAATCTATTCATGTTGTGAGTAGCCATATCAACATATCAACATGATTTTTGATTAATTTTTTTTTTTAATGTGAATTTGCTTCAGCTACCTCTGGAGTACAACAATGATGACTAAAATCATGGAATAGATTTTTTTTTTAAGTAATGTAACAATATTATAGATGACTTCTCATTTTTGTAGATTATGTGCTCCATATGCTTGTGATTCTCCCTGCTTGATGGAGTTGGCTATGCCCAAAGCTACATAAACATTGTTTACTCGCTGCACTGTACAACCTGTCAGACAATTAATAAAACTGGAATGAGGTCATCTTTTCCACTCTAGATAGGTGTCTGCAGTTGTCCTCTGTTTTATAATCCACCAAGGAAAAGATTCAAAATAGCTTACAAATTCTTATATATATATATATATATATATATGTATTTATTTATGTAATTAAAAAATATATAAAAACTCTTTTCTACTTTGAAGACATGATATTATAGTGCCACCAAGTGGCCTTTTAAAAATTTTGCTCTTAACATGTAAAATAAGCTACTTCAGGGCTGTCTCTTCTTTTACTAGTAATTTGGAGTTTTCTTGTTATACCTTTCCATTATTCAAAAGGTATTTTGAATGCCTACTACATATAAAAAAGGGTATTTGTTATTGTCTTTATGTAGAAAGAAGCAGAAAAATAATCTTCAGTATTGCTTTAGAATCCAACTTTGTTTTTATAATTATACAATTTTAGCTTCTTTAAACTGATATTTAAAAGGTAAAGTTCACCCTAATGCCATGATTAGGGAAATCTGTTTCTTAAATTAATACATAGCCACTAGATCTGGATAGCTTTTAGGTAAGTAGAGTAATAATTATTAGATCCTTATTATAGTTAACTTAAATTCCTTTATTGCCTAACGTCTTACCAAGAAAAAAATATTCATTGTTGACTTGCATCTTTTTTCCATATACCATTATTTTATAAACAATATCAGATGTGGAAGAAGACAGTAGGCAAAGCTTTGAAATTTGTATACTTGACTTTTATCTTCATACTGCCCTGATATCCACGATTGATGTACTTGAGTGTGTTAAGCTATTTGAGTCGAAGATATGATTTCTTGGTTTCATCCTTTCAGATTAATTTTGTTAGAAGTATCAGAATTTCCTTGCATTGACTGTACATATTTACATAATTACATACTTACGTTATTAACAGTTCACCTAACTGATTCTAACACAGATTTATACAGGAGTAGGGAGGGACTATTCAATGGTTGTCTCCTGAGCCCCATTTAGAAGCCGTGCTTCTGGGCTGTTACCATCACTTTAACTTGTCTCTTCCTCCAAATTGAACAGCTGAAAGCGTAATAGGATTTAGTTGAAGATGATCAGGTAATTTTTTCACAGATTTTTGTTTATTCCCCACTCTGTTTTACTTCTGTTAGGCGCTAACCATGTCAAAAAACAATTTCAGGCTCGGCTCAGTGGTTAGGGCACTGGCCACATAACACCAGGGCTGGTGGGTTCAAACCCAGCCTAGGCCTGCTAAACAAAAAGCAACAAAAAAGCCAGGCATTGTGGCAGGTGCCTGTAATCCTAGCTACTTGGAAGCCCAAAGCACAGCACTCTACAGAGGGCAACAAAGTGAAATTCTGTCTCAGTTAAAAATAAAAATCACTTTATAAGGGGGGAAAAATGAGATTTAGAACAATGAAATAAATACCTATTCCAAATGTAACCTTCATGTGTTTCCTATGTTGCTTATTAATGATAGTTATTTTGTGTAATCTTTATAGAATCAATTATGAATTACTGATTTGGATATGTTAATGATTTCTTATAATCTTTTTTGCAAGTTTGTATTTTCAGGAAGTTGTATATCAAGTCTCAAGCCATTCATCAAAATGTGTCAAGAATAAGTTCTACGAGCAAAGCTCTATTGGATACACTGTCAGAGTGTTATTTTGTTGTCACCCCTCTTAGTGGTTGTGATATAGCAACTTTGGAGGCCCGAGAATTGAAATAAAGTAGATTTCCTAACAAAGTAAATCAGTATCAGAATATACAGTCTTAGCATTTCCTAAAGTTTAATTTTTATTTGTAGAACTAAGTTAGCATAAATATGAGGGAATCAGTTTTGTATATGTAAATATGATAGACTAGTTAAAATGAAATATTAATAGGGCCCACCTACAGAGTAAAGATTTAATCCTTAGTAAAAATAATTTTTTTTTTTAAATTGCTTGATTCTTTCCATGCTTAATACTTGGCTTTGGTAAATAAGTTAAAGCATTAGATACCTTACTTTTATTTTTATAATGTGAATCCTCTTTTAATATATAAGCTCCTTTCAAACAACCTGATTGTAAAATCATGCTTCTAAATTGTCTTTTTTTAATAGAAAAAGTTACGCCGATCACAGCATGCTCGCAAAGAAACAGAATTCCTACGGCTCAAGAGGACCAGACTTGGCTTAGATGACTTTGAGTCTTTGAAAGTTATAGGAAGAGGAGCATTTGGAGAGGTATGCTTCCTTTTTAAAGTCACTGCTGCTAGAAATATGTATTTTACAATAGTTTAAAATGTAACATATAATTCCTAAAATAACAACAAAGGCAAACACCTGCTTTCTTTAAGGGAAAATGCTTTTCATTCATGAATAAATAGTGTTTAACATTTATAATATTTATTTTTTTAATTGTGTTTGGCCTTTAGCTAAGATGAAGTATAGTATAATATTTATTTCTATATGCTAGGTGCGGCTGGTCCAAAAGAAAGATACAGGCCATATCTATGCAATGAAGATACTGAGAAAGGCTGATATGCTTGAAAAGGAGCAGGTAAGGGTTCTCTAACACCTTAGCGTAACATGCAGGAACATCTGCTGGCTGAGTGTTACAGTAAGTGTATTGGAGTTTTTAAAAAGATAGTTACACATCTTACTGTATATTCTGTTAATTTTTTGACAGCCTGTTTTATGGTTTCTCAATTTTATATTTAAAATTTCTTCCAAATTCAGAATCCACATATTAGTCTGCATAGACCACCAAAACAAAATAATACAGATTGGGTAGCTTGAACAACAGATATTTATTTTCTCACAGTTCCGGAGACTAGAAGTTCATGAAGAAGGTTGTGGCAGGCTGTGGTTTGGGGGAGGCCTCTCTTCTGGCTTGCAGACCGCTGCCTAGTCACTCAGTCCTCGTATGGCCTTTCTTCAGTGCTTGTGGGAGGAAAGAAGGAAAGCATGCATGTCTGTGTGAGAACTCTCTGGTGTCTCTTAGAAAGTTGCACTTTTATGAAGTCATTTAACCTTAACTACTTCCTTGGAGGCACCCTCTCCACATACAGCCACACTGGGGATTAGGGATTCACCGTATGAGTTTTGGGGAGACACATTCAGTCCGTAACAAAATACCTTCTGAAATACTTCCTTTTCTGACTTCAATGAAAATAAGAGATAGTCCTCAGCACCCTCCATCCCTATCACATAGGAAATAATCCTCCCTTGAGAATATGCTGATCTTTGTATTTCCAAACTGTCCAGGGCTCTCTTCAGGTTTCCTGTTAATTAATTTAGCTCCATGGGGTGGCCATAATGTCTGAAAACATCAGTAGGATTCTTTTATGTGTTCACTTGTGTTACCAGTCTGGGTGAGCACTCCAGAACCCTAAACTTAATACCGATTCTGGTGACTCAGCAGGGAGGCTGGATAGGGCACAGCACTTCTCTGCTCTTTATGCTTTGTCTTTGGGTCCCCACCTAAAGTTTCCTTTATTCTTATAGCAACTATATAATATGTTAATAATCATAATGTATGTAATGCATCAATTAATAACCAGGAATACATTGATTTCTGGTTAGAGTTCCCCCGAATTCTTTTATTTTGTTATTTCATTCATTTAGCAAGTATTTATTGGGTGCCTACATGTATGTTCTGGGAATACAGTTATTAACAAGACAAAACTGATCTTTGTTCTTTTGTAGTAGTGGAGACAAGACAGCTATTTCAGATTTTCATGATTGATAGGTACTATGAGGAAATTTTTTTTAAATGATAAGGTCATACATATGATCTGGGTTTAGGAGGAAGAATTAGATCAGGGAAAGTTTGTCTGAAGAGGGAATATTTGATGAGAGATTGAATGATGGGAAACAATGACATGTAAAGATCTAGCAGAGCAGGCCGGGCACGTGGCTCACGCCTGTAATCCTACCACTCTGGGAGGCCAAGGCAGGAGGATCCCTTGAGGCCAGGAGCTCAAGACCAGCCTGGGCAACTAGTAAGACCCTGTCACTACAAAAATCATTTAAAAGTTAGCCAGGTATGGTGGCACACTTCTGTAGTCCTAGTTACTTGGGAGGCTAAGGCAGGAGGATCATTTCAGCCCAAGAGTTAGAGGCTACAGCAAGCTCTGATTATGCTAAACTCTAATCCAAGTGACAGAGCAAGACCCCACCTCTAATAAAAAAGAGGAAAAAGATCTGGTAGAATAATGGTCTGATGGTCTGGCTGGCAAATGCTGAGAACTGAGGTAAGAGTTATCTCGGTCTGCTTAAAGAAGAGAAAGAAACAATTATGGTAGAAGTGACAGGAAAAGTGATCAGAGATGAAGGGGAAAAGATAAGTAGGGCTTTGGAAGCTGTGATCTAGAAATTGGATTTTTAAAAATTTCAAGTTAATAGGAGGGCACCAAGTTTTAGGTTACATTGTTGAGTGCAATGGGAAGATGCTGGAGGAATTTTTGTTTGTTTAAACAGGGAAGTGGCATGTCTGATTTATGTTTTATATGACTTATACTTCGGTTACAACAATGAAGTTGTAAAAAGGTTAAATAGATTATATGTACTATCAGGATTTGTTCTGATGGACTGTTTGGGGGTGGGAGGATGGACAAGAGTGGGGAGGGAAAGGAGAGAAACCAGGATGAAGTAACAAGACAAGGTGAAATGGCCTGGGGTCCAAGGATAAGGTAGCAGTCCTGGATCTCAGCCCTCAGGATCCCTGGCAGAGGGGACCTGCAGAGGACCTGCAGAAGAACATAGTAGAAGGCAGGGGAAAACTAGAACATGGTGTCCTGGAAGCCAGGAGAAGAAAGTGTTCAAAGCAGGAGGTGAGTTGTCACCTGTGTTGAATGTTGCTAAGATGGAGAGCAAGAGGACGGGCCACAGGATTTCACAACGCGGAGGTTAGATCATGAGTCACATGGCGAGGACAGTTGGACTGTTAGGGAGAAGTCTGCCTGACATGGTGGAAAGGAGAATGGGAAGCAAGAAGTGGAAAGAGTATAGCTAGCTCTTCCTGCGACGCGGAACAAAGGATGCATTGGGAAAATGACAGTAGAAGCTGAAGGAAGTTTTTATAAATGGCAGGAAATGTTTCAGTACTGAAGAGAAGAATTCATTAGAAAGGGAAAAATTAAAGATGCAGGAGAAAGAGGAGATAATTACAGGACTCTGCTGGAAGACAAAGGAGCAGGGACCCATTTATTAAAACAGAAAGGAAAAGCAGAGAAAATGGGAACAAATCTAAGGTGGTTGATCTTACATTGGAAAGTCTCAGCTTCCTTGTTGAGTGCAAATTCATGCAGTCATCTGCTCAGAGGAAAGAAAGGGTGGCTTGTTGGTGGTTTAAGGGGAGAGAAGTTGTGAAATGGGCATCATAGAGTGTGGGAAAGCAGACTTACTAGGAAATACAGTCAAAGGCCTGTTGAGATTTTGTAGTCATGAATTTAAAGGGAAACCAGTTGGTATAGTGGGGTGATGTTTACTTGCTAGGGGGAGGTGCAAAATAGACAGAAATTTGGGTTTAACCCATGATTGGTGGTTTTCTAGGCAAATATAATGGAGGGAGCAAAGGACAAAGGAGTTCATGTCATTTGCAAAAGAGTGGTCACAATGATGTAGGCTGGGCAGAGACATAAATGAGGTTTTGAGGAGGGCAGTAGATAGAGAAAAAGTGATAGGGCCCATGGCATGGAGACTGAAGTGCCTGGAAGGATAGAGTGGTGGACATCAGCACAAGGGTTCCTTAAAGGTGAGGTTTTAGAAGGGAGTATGATTGCTGGTGATGAGAAGGACAGGAATATTACCCTGAGTGGCTGGGTTTACTGGAGGATCACTGAAGGGGAGGAAATGGTTAAAGAATTGTGTAGTGAGGGTATTTTATGGTTCATCCTATGGCTGCTGAAATCCATTCTTGGGTTGAAAGGGTAGAGAGGAACCTGTTGAGTCATGAGTTAAAGTCATGAATGAGTGGGAGGGATTGGTCAGGAGGAGTTCTGTTGATGATAGCTATAAGGAGGGGTAGTGTGGTCTCACAGCATGTGCTTCAGTGGAGCTAGAGAGAAGGAAGGTGGCAAAATGGTTCAGGAGCAGCCAAGAGAATGAGAAGAAGACCTCCTTCTGCACTGGGCAACACAGGAGAGAAAAGCAGGCCTTCCTTGAGAAGGCTGGAGGGATGGCTTGTTTAAGGAGAGAGAAGTTGTGGAAGAATCCTCCTAAAGTGTGGGAAAGCAGACCTAGGGAAATGCCGTGAACGCTTGCTCCTTGAGATTTGCATTCCTGAATTGAAACCAGTTGGTATAATTGTGTGATCTTCATCCTGGTTTCAGCTAGAGGTGAGATTTAGGGGACTTTGTTGATAACAGGCTATGTATGATTCTCCAGAGGGAAGAGGTTTGAAAGACCAGGAAGGTTGAGATACTGAGTTGGATTAGAGAACCATAGAAAATGACGGAATAAGGATAAATAAATGAGGGTAAATAAAAATAAAGGTAAAACTGTATAGCCTTAGAGGCAAGGAGGGAAATAGGAATCTAACTTAGCCATAATGGAATTAGTCCTAGATAGGGTTTTAGAGGAAGGATAAAAGTCAGCAGTTAGTTCAAGTTGTACATAGTCTAGCCACTAGCCCCTTGTGGCTGGCTACTGGACAGTTGAAATGTAGCCTGTCTGAATTGAGATAAGGTATAAATGTCAAATGTCCACCAAAGAGTTGGTGCCCCCTCAAAAGTATAAAATATTTCGGCCAGGCATGGTGGCTCACACCTGTAATCCTAGCACTCTGGAAGGCCAAGGTGGGTAGATTGCCTAAGCTCACAGGTTCGAGACCAGCCTGAGCCAGAGCCAAACCCCATCTCTAAAAATAGCCAGGTGTTGTGGTGAGTGCCTCCTGTAGTGCCAGCTACTCGAGAGGCTGAGGCAAGAGAATCACTTGAGCCTAAGAGTTTGAGGTTGCTGTGAGCGACGACGCTACAGCACTCTACCAGAGGTGCCAAAGTGAGATTCTGTATCCAAAAAGAAAAAGTATAAAATATTTCAATAATTTTATATTGATTATATATTGAAATAATATTTGGATATATTGGGGTACATATATTATTAAAATTTTACCTGTTTAAAAAAAAATTTTTTTTTTTTTTTGAGATAGAGTCTCACTATGTTGCCCTTGGTAGAATACCGTGGTGTCACAGCTCACAGCAACCTCCAACTCTTGGACTCAAGCAATTCTCTTGCCTCAGCCTCCCAAGTAGCTGGGACTACAGGCACCCATCACAATGCTTGGTTTTTTATTATTGTTGTTGTTATTATTATTTTAGCTGCCTGGACCGGGTTGGAACCCATCAGCCCTGGTGTATGTGGCTGGCGCCCTACCCACTGAGCTTCCAGTGCTGCTCAGTTTTCACTTAATGAAACAGATCCAGAGAGATTATAAAGTATTTTGATGCCACAAAATAAATTCTTATCAACTTTTGTGCTTTAACCTTAGAATACTTAACCGTACCAGGCAAATAATGTATATACATAGTAATTCTAAATATGATATTGTAAGCAAGTCATATTATTATGAAAAGGTTTACAATTATGTGTTCTAATGTACTTTGGGCTAGAGTTCATAATGATACATGTTGAAATGGCTCAGTGGGTAGGGCACTGGTCCCATATACCGAGGATGTCAGGTTCAAACCTGGCCCTGGCCAAAGTGCAAGAAAAAAAAAATAGCTGGGGGTTGGGGCGGGCGCCTGTAGTCCCAGCTACTTGGGAGGCTGAGGCAAGAGAATTGCCTAAGCCCAAGGGTTTGAGGTTGCTGTGAGCTGTGATGCCACGGCAAAAAAAAAAGAAAAAAAAAATAGCTAGGCATTGGGGCGGGCGCCTGTAGTCCCAGCTACTTGGGAGGCTGAGGCAAGAGAATTGCCTAAGCCCAAGGAGTTGGAGATTGCTATGAGCTGTGATGCCATGGCAGTCTGCCGAGGGCTAGTGAGACTCTGTCTCAAAAAAAAGAAAAAAAGGACACTAGCAAAAGCATAGAAATCAAATCTTACTGTGAAACTTTTTTTTTTCTTTTCTTACTGTGAAACTTTGAAGAAAGAATGTATAAATAATAATTCTAAATAGTATCCCTAGTAATTATGTTTCTGACATATGAATAGCAAAATCCCCCCAAAGTTACACAAATTTGCTGCAGCTAATTTTATGGATATTATAGAGGTGTTATATTATAACAGTAACTTAATATATTAACACAATTATTATAATTATTCCTACTTCTTAAAAAAAAAATCAAATAAAGATCAATCTGGGCCCATTGCTTTAACAGTTAAAAATAGTTTCCTATTTTTCACAAACCTTGTCTTTGCCAAACCAATCTACAGGGCATTGTTTACTGCTTTTGAAAGTCAGAGTAGTGCCCTAAATTTATATGACAAATTTATGTGATCCTTGGCTATGTAGAAATTCTGGTTAGAAAATTTTTAGGGCTCAACACCTGTAGCTCAGAGGCTAGGGTGCCGGCCACATACACCAGAGCTGGCAGGTTTGAATCCAGCCTGGGCCAGCCAAACAGCAATGACAATTGCAACCAAAAAATAGACAGGCATTATGGTGGGCTCCTGTGGTCCCAGCTACTTGGGAGGCTGAGGCAAGAGAATCACTTAAGCCCAAGAGTTGGAGGTTGCTGTGAGCTGACGCCAAGGCACTCTACCAATGGTGACATAGTGAGATTCTGTCTCAAAAAAAAGGAAAGAAAATTTTTAGACTAATTATTGCTCTACTCCAAAGGCCTTGCCTTCCAGTAATATACCCATTGATCTCACATTTTCAGGCCTAAAGAAATAAGCTAAAAGAAACTTTCCTGAAGTTCTCCATATTTAACGAGAATATGGACATGCATGGGTTTGAGAAAACTCCAGCTTTCCTTCATTACTGTTAAGGATGGATATGTGTAAGGTATAAGCTTAAGAAATGAGTAATGTGTTACAATTATCTTTCAAAATATATTCATCTAGGTGGCCCATATCCGAGCAGAAAGAGATATTTTGGTAGAAGCAGATGGTGCCTGGGTAGTGAAGATGTTTTACAGTTTTCAAGATAAGAGGAACCTTTATCTAATCATGGAATTTCTCCCTGGAGGTAAAAGCAAATATTATAGCAATGACAGACTAACACAAGCACATCCTTAATATAATGATGATTGTATTGATTAGGTTTACTTTTATATTCCTAGCTCGAAGGTTTTACATGTCACAGTTCTTCAATATTTACTTTCATAGTAATGCTAATTTTGAACTGAATGATAAAGTTGGCACATTTTAAATACTACCATTCTGGGTTCACTGCATATAATTAGATTGTTACAGGTCCACAATTAAGGAAATAAGCCAATTTTAAAAAGTAACAAAATGGGCAGCTCCAGTGAGTAGGGTGCTGGCCCCATATACTGAGGGTGGCGGGTTCAAACCTGGCCCCAGCCAAACTGCAACAATAAAATAGCCGGGCATTGTGGTAAGCGCCTGTAGTCTGGGCTACTTGGGAGGCTGAGGCAAGAGAATCACCTAAGCCCAGGAGTTGGAGGTTGCTGTGAGCTGTGTGATGCTGCCACGGCACTGTACCGAGGGCGATAGAGTAAAACTCTGTCTCTAAAAAAAAAAGTTAATAATACAGGAAAATGTTCAATCTCATTGATATTTAGGGAAATGCAAATTAAAACAAGAATGAGATACCACTTCACACTTATCGGATTAGCGAAATCATTAAAACTCCGGTGATACTGAGTATAGGTGAAGCTGGTGGGGGGAACTGGCCTCTTGTAAATTGATCTCTGACTTTTATGGAGAGCAATTTAGAGATATGCAGTAAGGCTGAAAATGGATGTGTCCTCTGATCCAGCGCTTCCACAACCAGCTGCATCCCCTAGAGATTCTACCCCACGTGTGCATAGAGACTATAAAAGGATATTTATTGCTCCTTGTCACAATAATGAAAAATTATATTTAGAATGTTCATTGTAGCATTGTCACAATAGTGAAAAATCAGATGCAAGATAAATGCCCATCAACAGAGGAAGTGATAATATTGGCATAATTACACGATGAAATATTTTATAGTAGTCACAATAGTAAGATCTTAGAAACAGTAGCGTGAGTAAAGCAAGCTGTGTACCTACAATTTGATATTATGTAATTTTTCAAAAACCTAAAAGACTGTAAATTTATATATATACATGTATATATGAAAACATATTTAAAAATTAAGTTGACATATGTCCACCAAAACAAATCCATGATTATTGCTGTTCAGGAATAGAATGGGAACAGAAGACAAAGAATATTTTTGCATTTTTTTCTTAAAAGACTCAAACCATGGGTGAAAAAAATGTTATCAGTTGTCAGTTCTGTTTTTTAAGCATGCCAGTGTTTGCATTAGTTAAAACTACTTGTTATGTGTCCCCTTTTAAAGAAAAAAACACTTTGTAAACAAAACGATGTTTAGAGGTTATCCATTTTAGTGGGATGAGGTCCTGTTTTGTTGGACCAAAGAGCTTAGGATGTTTTTGAAACTTTTGTTTAAGAAAGTTTCATCTGGTTTTATCTGGTTTCCAGGCATGCTTATTCTTGTTGGGCATATTTTCCCAGCAACTTATTCTGGATGTTCATTATCAACTTTATTCTTCAATTTTTTTCCAGTTATCAACTCTATTCTTAATTTGACTTCACATACTCTATCTTAAAACCTTCAAATGTCATAGACTGTTTGCTCATGCAGTGACACTTTTATTTGGCCCCAGTGATGGTTAGTTGTAGTATATGGGGTGATACAAAATCACGCATGCATTGTATAGCTACAAAGAAAGCTCTTAGAAGCTATTACCCCTTTAAGACATTTTCAGTAACATGATACTTACTTTCTTTGAATTTAGGTGACATGATGACATTACTAATGAAGAAAGACACCTTGACAGAAGAGGAAACACAGTTCTACATTTCAGAGACTGTTCTGGCAATAGATGCAATCCACCAGTTGGGTTTTATCCATCGGGATATTAAACCAGACAACCTTTTATTGGATGCCAAGGCATGTGAACAAACTGGTGAATTATTACGTTGCTGATTATTTTATAGCTTTAATAGAGCTGATTTTGTGATTGGAAATGAGCAACTGCAATTGGGACTATTGTTATATTATTATATAAAATAATGCATTAAGAGAACACTCTGGAATGAAATAACCTAAGGAAATAAGGGTATCTTTTTGTTTCTTTCATTTTGTACTTTGAAAAAGCATCATTGAATACTTACAATTTTACATTTTCATTTGTGTAAATTCCAAGCTAAGATTTTTTTTTTTTACAATAACTGCATTTTAAAAAAGGAGTTTATAATAAGGCCTTTTGTTTTCAAAGTTAATACAATCTCCTGATTTTACTGGACTTTTTCTTTAGGGTCATGTAAAATTATCTGATTTTGGTTTATGCACGGGATTAAAGAAAGCTCACAGGACTGAATTCTATAGAAATCTCACACACAACCCACCAAGTGACTTCTGTAAGTTTGACTTTTTTTTTCTAGTTAAAATATTACAGCTGGTTTGATTCAATACTATAGAACTGAAGGTTTTCTCCCTTGCTCTCTCCCCACTCCTTAAACCCCAGTGTGTTTTAGATGTGTATGTGTTTTTGGTTTTTGGTGAGAGTTTTCCCTCATGATTACAATTCCATATTGTTGAAATTAGCATTTCAGAACATGAACTCAAAGAGGAAAGCAGAAACTTGGAAGAAGAACAGGAGACAACTGGTAAGTCAATTGTGTTTTTAAGAAAGCATTTTGGGGCTCGGCGCCTATAGCTCAACCGGCTAAGGCGCCAGCCACGTACACCTAAGGTGGCGGGTTCGGATCCCCAGCCCGGACCCGCCAAACAACAGTGACGGCTGCAACCAAAAAATAGCCGGGTGTTGTGGCGGGCGCCTGTGGTCCCAGCTACTTGGGAGGCGGAGGCAGGAGACTCGCTTGAGCCCAGGAGTTGGAGGTTGCTGTGAGCTGTAATGCCATGGCACTCTACCCAGGGGGAAAGCTTGAGGCTCTGTCTCAAAAAAAAAAAAAAAAAAAAAAAAAAAAAGAAAGCATTTTGGGCCCTGGTCCTAAAAATCTCTTCTGATTTTTACTTGACTACAGTAGAACCTCCATAGTTGACAGCCTCCTTAAAGTTGACCTAAGTTTTATTGCCTGGACATGCACCTCATATACATATCAATACAGTAGGCCTAGTACCTTCTTTATGTTGATCACTTTGGGGGGGGCAACTTACAGAGGTTCTGCTGTAGTATTGACCTCACAGCAATGATAGCACTTTTTCTGGGATTATAGTTTTTCTAGTTTTTCTGTAAAGTTTCTTTGCCAGGGAAGTAAACTGTTGATTTTTACTGTATGATTTAACTTTAAAGTACTTTATTGAACATAGCTATGAGTAAGTGATCTGCTTATTAGTAATTAGCACTTTTTAAATAAAACTCACTGAGCGTGATTTTAGTGTCTGTCTCGTGGTTTCTGTTTTTCCATTTTTCCATACCTGTGGTATAAATCCTGCTATAACAATTATCAGTCAGCACATAAGGTGGTTGTAAGTGTCTAAGAACTTTTTTATAGAAAAAGTAAGTGAGAACTTTGGGATATAAAAATTATTTCCCCTTTTTCCTCTTTCCCTTTATCTTGTTAAGAAGGTCTTACTTCATCCCTAGCCTTAAGAATGGGCCTTTTGGCTTTGTTTTCCTAATTTCTTACACAACACCTGGTATATATAGACACTCTATAAATATTTGTTCTGTTCAGTCAAGTGATGAAAAGAAAACTAATTTAGCATTCCCTCAGAAAAGTAAATAGACTGAAAAGTATTATAATAGTCTGATAGCTTTTAAAAGCAAATAAAATGACCTATGTGTCATTGAGCTTATTCTCCCATTAAAACCCAAGTAATTGTAAATTTCCTATGTTGTAAAACATTTTAGTGTTGTTAAAATGTATTGAATTTTACATTAAGGAGAAAAACTCCATTCTACTTTTAAATGTGTCACTTCTAGATCAGATTTTATAATTGAGAAAAGAATTGGAATATTCCCTATTTTTAAAGGGCAGAAAATGAATGCTGCTTAAAAATGTGGGGGAATTCTATACCTCCTATTTACAAAATATTTATGAATAATTACTTATGTGCATGTTTGGTTATATTCAGACCTTATATAAGTGTTTTCTAGAAGAAAGCTAAAGAGGACTCTACTGGTAATGGGGGCAGGAAATTCCTTTAGCACCTGGATCCCCTGCCTTCTAAATGCCAATCATGTCCTCCCCCAAGTCACTGAAACTCTGCTGTCACACATTTTCAAATGGTCCTCACAGTACTACCTGAATTGAGAACTATTACCTTAAAGAAATAGCTTTTGGGCTCGGCGCCTGTGGCTCAAGCAGCTAAGGCGCCAGCCACATACACCTAAGGTGGCGGGTTCGAATCCCCAGCCCGGGCCTGCCAAACAACAATGATGGCTACAACCAAAAAAAATGGCCGGGCGTTGTGGGGGGCGCCTGTAGTCCCAGCTACTTGGGAGGCTAAGGCAGGAGACTCGCTTGAGCCCAGGAGTTGGAGGTTGCTGTGAGCTATGATGCCATGGCACTCTACCCAGGGGGATAGCTTAAGGCTCTGTCTCAAAAAAAAAAAAAAGAAATAGCTTTTGTAAGATTTTATGTGACTTAAGAAAGAAAAACTGCCTAGTTTCTTGAGGAATGTAGTGCCAGGAATTGTTCATAATGGAAATACCTGAAGCATCATTGGTTAGTTTGTAGTTTACAAAGCACATCTCTCTTTATCGTCCTATCCTCATATTAACTCTATTAGGGCAGGTATCATTATGCAGCTTCATGAAAGTGAAGCTGAGGCTCAGAGAGGTCGGATAACTTGCCCCAGAACGCGTTAGTAGAGAGCGGGAATGCCAGGCCTACTGAGTTTAACTAATTTTTCATTTTTTTTTGAGATGGACTTGGGGCTATATGTATAAATAACTAAATTGAGCTTGATACAGAAATCATGTATTCTGTAACATACTGTGCTTTTTCCAGTAGTAAGCCATACTCAAATCTATGTTGTTTTAATGTTAAGAATATTGGTTTGACAGGCTGCTCCTTTGCAGGCCTATTCCACAGTTGGGACGCCAGATTATATTGCTCCTGAAGTGTTCATGCAGACTGGTTACAACAAACTGTGTGACTGGTGGTCTTTGGGAGTGATTATGTACGAAATGCTAATAGGTATGTTTCATCATTCATTTGTGTCCACAATATATACATTTCCTGAGTGCCATTAACATTTTGCAGATACTATGGGCTAAAATATCTGAACTCTTTTAAACCTATTTCTGATACCTCCCAAAGTTAAATATATACTGATTAATACTCATAATCCTATTTCAGGAAGGGAGGTATTTAACCCAAACCCCTACATCAGAATTATATCTGCAGGGCTTTCAGGTAACAGGCAGTGTTTTAAATCCCTGACTGCATTGGCTTTATTAGCAAGTTTATTAGACATTGATGAGTGCTGACATTTTTTTACTATTACTATTAAACAGAGCACTCAGAGTTGTTTTGCTTCATGGCACACACTTAGTAGTAGGTATAACAAAAGCTAATAAAACTGTTCTGGTTTCTTTGATACATAGGATATCCACCTTTCTGCTCTGAAACGCCTCAAGAAACATACAGAAAAGTGATGAACTGGAAAGAGACGCTGGTGTTTCCTCCAGAGGTACCTATCTCTGAGAAAGCCAAGGACTTAATTCTCAGGTAAGTGGTTAAATTCTTAGTAGAGTTCATGGTGTCTTAAAATTTCCCGAGTACCTAAAAGACCCATTTTACTGTTGTTGGGGGAAGAGACAGTACCACTGATTTATACAGTCAAAGAGATCAATAAAGAAAAGGTATTTTTAAAAATGTAAACTCTTAAAAGGAAGTATGCAGGAGGAAAAAGTTTAAAAAAGGAAGAGATTTCGTATTATTTCAGTTACTGATACATACGTATAAAAGTAGGAGGTCACTTCTGTTAGAATGCAATGACCCAGTCTCATTAAAAAGGGAAAATAAATGGTTAGCAGCAGAAATTCCTATCATGCAAATCTATATATGAAATATTATATATAAAAGATTCCTTTATGTTCCTCAACTAAGATGAAGTGTTTTGGTACTGCTCTGAATATGGGAAGGAATACAAATTGGGACAACCTCTGGGAACTTTTTTTTTTTAATAAATTTATTTTAAGTTAATGAGAGGGTACAAGCAAGCAGGTCAAAACATTTGATTTAGCTAGATAGCGTTCGTCTTGTGGTTATGTCCCATATGCAAAAGGTATGCCAACCCCACCCCCCTACCTCTCATGGCAACTTATTAATAAAAAATTCTGAAACTGTATTAACCTTTGACCCAGCAATTCTCCTAGGAGTTTTGCTTACGCAGATAGTCAGATGTGTATAAAGATTTAGGTACATCTGGGAGGCAGTGGCAGGTGGAATTGCCTGAGCTCAGGAGTTTGAGACCAGACAGAGCTAGAGCAAGACCCCGTCTCTACTAATAATAGAAAAACTAGTTGGCACCTATAGTCCCATCTACTCAGGAGGCTGAGGCAAAAGGATTGCTCAAGTCCAAGAGTTTGAGGTTGCTATGAGTCGTGATGCCACTGCACTCTACCCAGGGTGACAGAGTTGAGACCCTGTCTCAAAAAAAAATTTTTTTTAGGTACAATTAAGATTATCATGGTATTATCTAATAGTAAAAAATTAGAAACCATTTGAATGTTCAGCAAGAGTGGACTGGCTAAATAATTATAATGATTTCTATGTATATATTTTAGAAAATGAATTCATAGAAAAATATTTAATGACTTTGAGAAGTTTTCCTCATTAAGTGAAAAAAGTAGCCCTTATATAGAAATTACTATATCAACACAATATTTTTAATATTATCATAAAGATTATTTATAGTAGTTATAAATATATAAAAATGGTTATCTCTAAATAGTGTGATTACACATGTTTTTTTTTCTTTTGCCTTTCTTACCTGGGTGATGGGACAGATGATTATTTTCTTCAAAATAGTTAATGTCACAACAAACATAGTTAATGTCAGTACAAAGAAAAACACTGTAATGTTTTAAAAAAGGAAATGTTTGAAATAAGGTGACTAGAGTAATTTAGAGATTAACTTGTATGTGATGATTTCTTTATTTCCATGTTCTAGATTTTGTATTGATTCTGAAAACAGAATTGGAAATAGTGGAGTAGAAGAAATAAAAAGTCATCCCTTTTTTGAAGGTGTAGACTGGGGGCACATAAGGTATGTCTCTAGCCTCTGAGTGGAAGAGGTCTGAGTATAAACAAATTTCTAGAGTTAGTGACTCATTTATCTTTGATTCTGATAGAGTAAACATAAAAAGTAACGTTCTAATGTTTTTAAGTAAGTGTTTTCTGGATAATGTTAGTCAGTGAGACTGTAGTAGGCTTTGCTTAAATGAGTCATTTTAGGCTGATGTTCCCTCTGAGGGAAAAAAACCACGTATTGTGGTTTTTAGATTGTTACATTCATACTTACACAGATTAACTCATGAAAGATGTATGTACAGTTCACGCTGTGACCCCTAGTTTGTGTCCTCTAATATATCATACTGTATATCCTTACTGTATAATAAAGTGTAGTCTCTTCTTTAAATATTGGGAGAAAAGTTAAATAATGCAAATAACTTTTAAGAATTTGCTTATAGTTGTCAATTGTGAGCATTTTCCTTTTTTCATTTCCTGGCCAAACTACCTCCAGTAGTTCTGGTCTGTTCTCCACATAACAATTTAGAAGCAGACATCTGGTCATGCCATTTTCCTACTTCCCTTTGCACTTAGACTTAAGAATCCTTAATTGATAGCCCAGCGCCCGTTGCTTAGTGGTTAGGGCACCAGCCACAGACATTGGGGCTGGTGGGTTCCAACCTGTCCAGGACCTGCTGAACAACGATGACAATTGCAACAAAAAAAAAGCCAGGCATTGTTGTGGGCGCCTGTAGTCCCAGCAACTTGGGAGGCTGAGGCAAGAGAATCGATCAAACCCAAGAATTTGAGGTTGCCGTGAGCTGTGACGCCAACGCACTCAAGGACAACGTAGTGATACTACTCAAAAAAAAAAAAAAAAAAAAGAATCCTTAACTGCCTTTTTAGGTTCGCAGGTTATAGTGCTTGCCTCATCTGCACAAGTTGCATCTCATGTATCCTTCCTTTCTCCTTCCCACCTTAAGAGTTTTGTCATGTACTGTTCATTCCAACCAAAGTGCTTCTCTTCTCCCCACCCTCATTCCTGCCTCTACCCTGCCCTGTCTCGTCAGCTCCTTTGCATCTTCCAAGACAGCTGTGGGCCAGGCACTCTACCTGTTATAACAGCTAATGCTTTTTATCATTGTCATGTGTCAGCACTCTTCTAAGTACTTTGCTTGGATTTCTCATCTTAGAAACCCCATAAAATAGTAACTGTTATCCCTGTTTTACAGATGAGACAAAGGCATAGAGAAGTTAAGTAATTTGCCTGCAGTGCTACAGCTAGGAACTTAAAGAGCTAGAATTGGAACAAGCAGTTTGATTGTACAGATCTAACTCTTACCTGCTACACTGTATTATACCGAACATATATCATCTCATTGATACCTCCCTTTTTACAGTTGTGGGAGGATGCTTAGAAACTACCATTCCAGTGTTTTATAATGAGAAGCAGTCACAGAGCAGGGGGCTGCCTAAGGTCATGCTGCTAGTGAATGACAAGAAAGGTTAAGCCTCAGGGCTCCAAGGTCTGTGGTTCTTTCCACTAAACCGGGTGGATTAAGTTAGTATATTAAGTACAAGTAAATTGAAATGATTATGGTAAAAATACATAAAAGCTTTTACATAATTTCCTTCCCCTTTTTTTTCCCAAATGACTTTTCATTTATGGATCTTTTCTTAAATTCTGTTCTGAAATCCTCACAATTTACATAATTATAATATCTTTAAATAAAATCTCTAGTTTTACTTTTCATAGGCTATTGATTTTCTACTTTAAAAGTACACCTGTAATCCTAGCTCTGGGGGGCTGAGGTGGGTGGCTAGCTTGAGCTCACAAGTTTGAGACCAGCCTAGCAAAAAAGTGAGACCCCATCTCTACTAAAAATAGAAAAACTGAGGCAAGAGGATCACTTGAGCCCAACAGTTGGAGTTTGCTGTGAGCTATCACGCCATGGCATTCTACCCAGGGCCATAGCTTGAAATTCTGTTGCAAAAAAAAAAAAGTAGCATGAGAATGTCTTGGTACAAAGAAAAAAAAATTTAAAATAAATGAAAATAATTGTAATAAAAATCATACTCAACTATTTTGAAATCTACTTAATTATTCTCAAATCCTTAGTAAATTTCCTTGGCCTTTGTAATACCTATGATGCAGGATTTGCAAATAGAGTTATTTGTTGGAAAAATTAAAAGTTCAAGAAAAGTTACCATGGCTACTCAATACCTTTCTATAGGGAAAGACCAGCAGCAATTCCTATAGAAATTAAGAGCATTGATGACACTTCAAATTTTGATGACTTCCCTGAATCTGATATTTTACAACCAGGTAAGACAATCTGCAGTGTGATTTATGTTGTTGAAGGTCTGCGAAGGTGCTGACACGTCACTAATGAGATTCCTTTGCTCTTGGTTCACATTTCTGTCTTTACAGTGCCAAATACCACAGAACCAGACTACAAATCCAAAGACTGGGTTTTTCTCAATTATACCTATAAAAGATTTGAAGGGTTGACTCAACGTGGCTCTATCCCCACCTACATGAAAGCTGGGAAACTATGAATGAAGATCACATTCGCCCACAACCAAGAGAACTCAGGTAGCTGCATCACCAGGCTTGCTTGGCGTAGATAACAATACACTGAAATACTCCTGAAGACGGTGGTGCTTATCGACTAAAAGAGGAAATTCTACAGGATTAGGATTTCTAAGACTACTACAGGAATTGGTTGGCAGTGCCAGCTGGCTTTTTTTTTTTTTAATATTTTATTATTTTTGTTAACTTTATTATACGAAGGTACTGGAATAAAAGGAGAGTACATCCCTTTCTAACTGCACTGCCTACATGCATATTAAGGTCCATTCTGCCTGTGTGTGCCGTGGCTTTGAACTGTAACACCTCTAATCAATTCAGGAGAAACACATATCATATAAAGCAACATAGGCTCACCTGTAGGTAACACTGCAGTATTGCTGTCGTACTGCACTTCTTATGGGTCTACATAATCCGTAAAAGCCATCTTCCATAGTTGGTGTTAGAACATTTGCCCTATTGTTTGGACATCTGTAGAATACATATGATGACAATTTCTGTAATGAGTTTAAGAAATTTTAAAAGAAATACACTGGTTCTTTAAAAAATAGAATTTATCATCAAGTTATTACACAAACTCCACACTAGGGAGTGACAGGTTTATCATAAGGAACAGAAAGTTTAACACCTTCACTCAAGCACTCCACTAATATATTTACTTTGCATTCAGAAATACAGATGACTTTTATATACATAGTCTATATACGCATAGGGAGATGTACTGTATTATCTAAAAAGTAAAGTTGCTTTTCGTGTGACAAGAGGACTTCTTTTTTAACAAGAGGACATGGCATTATTTTATTTGATTATGATGAGTTGAATTTAAGAAATGACCATGAAAGGCTGCTTGTAGAACTAGTGTATTTTTATTAAACTATTTTTTTAAATGTCAAACTTCTGATCATGTAAATGGACTTGTAGAGAACAAAATGCTATTTCCTTTGATTTTCTAGAAAGTCGTTAACATATCATGGTTGGTTAACTTTTATTTCTTTGGATGAAAAGTTTTCTTTGATAGTACTTGTATTATCGTGCCATTATTTTCTTATGCTCCAAATGTACCAAAGATCCTGAAACACAGTGGATGTTCACAACTGAGTAGAGTGTTACTCCTGTGGGAATGCTGTATTCAGACGTGACAGATCTTTGATCGAGGTCAGCTTATTCAAGGGCAATACTGTTCATGTTTAGCTCCATCACTGTGGTTGACATAGATGGAAGGAAGGAAGGAAGGAAATGCAGGCTTGGGGCGGGGCTTGGGGGGGTTGGGATTAGAGGTTAATGTCAGCATCAGATTCTTTGGGTATTTCCCTAAGAATTAAATAATTTTTTCTAGCCCAGTATTTTAATTCTAATTTAAACAACCCTCTGAGATTTTTATTTCCTAAGTACTAGTTGAGGAATAATACTTTAGCAAAGAATAGCCTAATATTTGTCTGAATTGTTAATTGATAAAATAGTTTAAAGATAGGATAACTATAACCATTACAAATGATCTGTGATCAAAATCTAAGGTGATGATTTATTGGTAGGAGTGTCTTCCTAATGGGGAAGAATTGCATTAGGAGCATTACGCAAATCTACCAGATTTATCGATTCTTTTATAAATGTTGCTGCTCGGTAGTGCCACAGCATTTTAATGAGGCCATCCTGTCCTGCCCCCCACACACTTTTTTTGTTCGTTTAAGTATTTATTGAGTCCTTATTCTGTGTTCATCTAATAGTTCATCTCCATTTTTCCAGTCTGGATCATGTGACTGAATATTTGGGAGAGAGAGCTATTAAAACTCTAGGGTTATCTCAATTTCACTAAACTCTAATTTGTCTAATCATAACTGCCTTTAATTTTTAAAAAATCTTGAATTTCTACTGGAGTTTCTGAGATTTTTCTCACCCCCCACGTCACCCCCTTTTTTGAAAAAAAGACGGTTTTTGCTAGTGTGGTCATGACTAGGTGAACTATGAGGAAAGTACAACATTCTCTTGTTCTACAATGGTAACTATTTTAGTGTAGAAAATATCATTAATTCAAGTTGACAGAGAGAGAGAGAGAGAGAGACTGAAACGGATATAAAGGAACTGAATTATCTAAGTTCACTTTTTATTGGATAGGACTAGAGGATTTTAGTTTTGATTCCCTTCATTCTTATTATCAGAAGGAACTTGGAAATAGTTATAATTTCTTGGCAGTGGAAGGGCAGTTCTGAAAGCTTACTTTGAAGTCTCATTCTTCCCTGGAGTTAACAGAGTGATTCATAATCTTTGGGGTTTCCTCCTCATCAAAAGCATTTCTTAAGTGCCTATCTACAAGCAATTAAAGACTGTGTCTGCCCTTTGGAAGCTGAGAATTTGATTCATGATGCAAATTAACTAGATAATTTGCAGGTACCCTTGACACTGAAGATTCTCTATTATACATTTCCCATATTTCAGGTGAATCATTTAATTTAAATAACAAAACCTTATCTAATCAACTGGGCATAATGACATTTTCTTTAAATTAGACTCTATTTTGAATTAAAAGAGTTTTATTATAAACTGTGTGTTTTTGGTTTTTCTAAGTATATAGAAAGCTTGTATAATTCAGATTTATCAATTTCCTGATTTAATGTAGACTTTGACTTTTTTATTAAAAACCTTTATATTAAAGCAAGTTATGTTATTTTTCTTGTATGCATTTATTATTAACATAGCTTTAAATCTTTAAACGTGTTGAAGCATAGTGTTGTCTGCAAATAAGGAATTGCTTATAAATCAGCCACTTCTGAATGGAGAATATAGCTGATTTAGTAAGCTAGTTAGTTGAATGGAAAATAACAAGTGTGGAATATTAAAAATATTCTTTGGTTGCTAAGGCTTAAGGCAGTGTTTCATTTATGTCTATAATAGCATATTTTTCTGTTCTTTAAATACCTGCATATCTTTGTGTAAATCTTTAAATTTTTAAATATTTTAAGTTTTAATTATTATTTATTTTTGATTTTTTTTTTTTTTTGGTAGAAAACCCTTAGACATTCTCTATTGATAGAAGAAATAGCTAGCTATCTTTTGATGATCCACAAATAAATGGATTGAGATTTTTAATCTGTAGAAGTCCCTGGCTACTAAACACATTCTTTTTTTTTGAATTGTTGAAATTCAGGACATTGAAAGTTACTGTTTTGCTACAACCATGATTATCTCCTCTTTGTCTTTATTTAAATTTTATTTTCTCTTTAGAAGTGCACTTATTTCTGAAAAATCTTAGTGAAACACTTAGGACAAATATAAATATAAGACACTTGGGACTACTAGAAATACTTTAGATTTTTATGAAAAAATGTCAGGGGATATTGTTGCTATAAAAAGGGATAAAGTAATAAAAATATATCTTAGCTATTTTTTTAAAAGCAATATAATCCAGCAATTGTCTAGCAAAATAATCATCAGGCTGTTGAGTTTGGTGTTCACTTACTGAGTTTCAAAAAAATGTTTTGGTGGCATGAGGGCTTTTTCATTGAAGGTCAGACCAGAATAAAAACTATGTTTACAAAATTTCTGTTGGTGAGGTGTTTTTGGTTTTATTTTTGAGTTTTGGGATCGCTGTTATCCAAAACTCAAGAAAGACTATTTTGTAAATGTAAATTACTAAATAACTTTTACACTTGAAAATCACATCAAGAAATAAAATAAATATTTGAAGTTTACATTAAAAATGTCTGTTTAAATCTGCAGCTAAAAACATACGGCTACACAAGCCATAAATGATCATTTTAGGTACTTGCTGGGAATATAACATACACAACAACCCCACTTGGTCAAAACAAGTTAGCAAGCAGTAGACTGAAAATACTTCAACACAGCATAGAAATATACAAATGGCCCAGGTACCGTTACCTCCTGTTCCATGGAAGATGCTGACAATCATTCATAATATACCAGTAATACTTTCTCCACTGAGCCCAGTGGGAGCCAGTGAGAATCCCAGTCAGCCTCCTTGTGTTCCAACTGTTCCCTGACATCGTTTCAATAATGCCATTGTAAGACAGAACAATGAAAACAGTGACTGACACAATTTGGGTGTTGTGGCCCAAAGACTCTAAATTTATCTTTCAAAAGCATCTAGTGATACAAAGAACTTACACTTGTATACAAAATGCCTTCACTGAACATTATTGATTTTATTTCTTAAAACTACTCCGTAAATAAACATAATTACCACCATTTGATAGATGGTGAGTGTGAGGCTGAGTGATGGTGACTTAGTGAAAACACAGGTCATAAAGTGCTCTTGAATCCACATCCAGTGTTCCTGCTACCCCAAATCATAGAGTGTGCGTCACTGACAGATGACCCCAGAAGAACACAAGGGGTCACGGGGACAGTTACTGCTTTGCATACTTTTGACTACAAGTGACAGAAAACAACTAAAAACGGCTTCCACAATAATGAAAATGATCTCTCATGTCACATTAAGACACAAGGTAGAAAGCTTCCAGGGTGGTCACCTTAGCATCTCAAAAACATTACCAAGGACGCTGGTGTGGTGGCACGTGCCTGTGGTCCTAGCTGTGCAGGAGACAGTGGGAGAGTTGCTTGAACCTAAGAGTTCTAGGCTAGTGTGGGCAACATAGTGAGACCCTGCTATTAATCTCTATACTTGGCCATCAGAGTGTGGGCTTTGTCCTTGGTCTTCTTGTCTCGGGGAAGCTAAACTGCTACAGAGACTTTGTTTTGTTTGTTTGTTTTCCTGAGACAGGGTCTGGCTCTGTTGCCCAGGCTGGAGTGCAGTGGCATCATCGTAGCTCACTGCAACCTCAAACTCCTGGGCTCAAAGGATCTTACCTCAGCCTCTTCAGTAGCTGGGACTATTGGTGTGTCAGTGTGTGCTATCACACTGGCTAACTCTTTTTTTTTTTTTTTTATGGAGAGGGTCTTGCTGTGTCACTCAGGCTGGTCTTGAACTACAGGACTGTCCTCTCACTTTGGCTTCCCAAAGTACTAGGATTATAGGTAAGAGCCACCATGCCCAGCCTAGACACTCGTAAGCATCAACACACACGTAGGACCTTCAAAAAACAAATTACTTCTTTTGCCCTCTTTTCAAGAGCATTCTGAGTAAGACTGCCCCTGAGTGTGTTACCTGCCCATTCCTAAACCAGTAGCTGGTCCAGCAATTGACTTGAAATTAATCAAGATTCATTCACATTCCTAGTACCATAGTGGGACTCACATAAAGCAAATGGCCACCTGAAACCAGAACCTAATTAGGCTTTTTTTAGACAAGTTACCAGGTAATCAAAAGAGTGCCACACAGTTTTAGAGCAGTGGTTCGTTCTTACCTGAATCCACTGCTCCTAGATTGTGTTGTTGCATCTGCCATTGCCTACATATGAACTGAATGTTAGTCCATTGACATCTCTCCGGACCCATCTGTAAAACAGTAGACCACTGTGTCAGACCACGGCTCAGCTGCTCAGACCTCAGGCTTCATGTCCTTTGGTGGGTCTCAGGAATAGGGTTGGGTGTCTGGACATACAGAAAGGATAGATGGGTGGCCCAGTGACCAGGTCTTGGTCTTTTTAGTGCTTCCACTGTCCCTCCTAGTTCCAGTTCATCAGGGAAGATGATTCAGCATACAGTGCTGTGGCATCATAGCTCACAGCAACCTCAAACTCTTAAGCAGTTCTCTTGTCTCAGTTTCCCAAGTAGCTAGGACTCCTATCGCCAGCCACAACATCCTGCTAATTTTTCTATTTTTAGTACAGATGGGATTTCGCTTTTGCGCAAGCTCCTGAACTCAAGCAATCTACCCACCTCAGCCTCCCAGATTGCTAAGATTACAGACATGAGCCACTGTGCCTGGCCAGAGAAGATAATCTCTCCAATGGTCCTTCTCTAAAGCTCTTACATGAGAAAGAGGGACCTTCATCAACTTATTTCCTCCCAAGACCCAGCCAGGGGTGAGGCGGCTCAATTGCTTTGTCTAAATTTAGAAGATGAGCTTTGACTAATGGAAATAACATTTCTCAGGTAAGGTTGTGCTAACTAACCACCAACTTATCTCTGAATTACTTTCCCTTTTTATTAAAACATTCATGATCAGGGTGGTGCCCATAGCTCAGTGAGTAGGACGCTGGCCACATACACTGTGGCTAGCAGGTTTGAACCCAGCCCAGGCCTGCTAAACAGCAATGACAACTGCAACAGCAAAAAAATAGCTGGGTGTTATGGTGGGCACATGTAGTCTCAGCTACTTGGGAGGCTGAGCCAAGAGAATCGCTTAAGCCCAAGTGTTTGAGGTTCCTGTGAGCTGTGACTCCACAGCACTCTAGGCAGAGCAACAGCTTGAGACTCTGTCTCAAAAAAAAAAAAAAAAAAAAATTCATGATCAAATCTCTAAACAGAGGATGACATTTTTTTTTTTTTGAGACAGAGCCTCAAGCTCTCCCCCTGGGTAGCGTGCCGTGGCATTACAGCTCACAGCAACCTCCAACTCCTGGGCTCAAGCAAGTCTCCTGCCTCCGCCTCCCAAGTAGCTGGGACCACAGGCGCCCGCCACAACGCCCGGCTATTTTTTGGTTGCAGCGGTCATTGTTGTTTGGCGGGTCCGGGCTGGGGATTCGAACCCGCCACCTTAGGTGTACGTGGCTGGCGCCTTAGCCGGTTGAGCTATAGGCGCCGAGCCACAGAGGATGACATTTAAGCCTCTTCCAACGAAGAAACTTCTAATAGGAAAGGGAAACTGTCAATGTCTGTCTTAGCAGCCTTTCCTTTGTCCTCTTGGCTAAAATAATCCTCACAAGAACTTGAAGAACCCTCCTGTACAATTCTATCTATTGGGAGTTCTAGCGAGGATCTGGGACACCATGCCTGCTTTAAGAGTGTCCAAAACCAGCTCAGTGCCCATAGCTCAGTGCTTAGAGCACCGGCCACATACACCGGGCCCGGCAGGTTGGAACTGGCCCTGGGCCTGCTGAACAATAATGACAACTACATCAACAACGAAAAAATAGCCAGGCATTATGGTGGGGGCCTGTAGTCCCAGCTACTTGGGAGGCTGAGGCAAAAGAATTGCTTAAGCCCAAGAGTTTGAGGTTGGTGTGAGCTCTAATGGCCACAGCACTCTACCGAGGGTGACACAATGAGACTCTGTCTCAAAAAAAAAAGTCCCAAACCTGCAGTATATTAGTAATAAAGTATATTAGTTGAGCTTTTGACACTTTAACACACACACACACCCCCTTTACGGGAAAACTAACAAAGCAGCAACTCCCCATATGAGATCTGCACAGCTATGCCCTCATTCTTGTCCTAAGATTTTTCCTCATAGTTTTCTTGAAATTTTGGGGTATTGCTACTTGTGTCCTTTGGCCAGTAGAAATACTGCCCACCCCTCCCATGCGTACAGTAAGTGTGTGCATATCCCATGCAAAAAGAAAATTCATTTAGACGACTTAAAGCAGTATTTACTAAAGTAGAATACTCAACAACTGTTTCAGTATCAACTAAAGTGCTTATTTAAAATAAGATTTGAATGTGTCTCCAAACCACCTCAACCAGGATCCCTGGGGATGGGTCTAAAATTCTGCGTTTTCTCATTCACATTGAACTCTGGGAACTACAGAGCTAAGGGAAACAGGAAACAATACTGTGAGAACATCTATATGAAATAACTTGGTGTACAGTAGGTAAAATACAAAAGTCAGTGCTTACAGCCCTGGTGGCACATAGTAGGTGCTCAATAATTATTTGTGAACAGATGAATGACTGCAATTTGCCGGTTGCCTTACTTTCCATCTAAAGCCAATTTCAAAATTATTCCCTGTTAATAAAAACACACAAAGAACTTCAAAAGTATTGAAAAGGATGTAGCTTTTGTTGAAGTTGTTATTTTCCAGGGGAACGCTGTAAGAGGGCTTGTATTATCCAGTGAAACTCCCTAAATGCCCTTTGAAAAGGTCTCAAATTTCCACCCCCCCTCCCGCAGCTGCCCCCACCTCCTTAACCGCCTCCCTTGTTCCCTCCTCTCCCTTGCCTGTACTCTCCTACAATTACCTTCTCTGCTTCTCTTCCCTTTTTATGCCAAGCTCAAGCTGATCTTTCTTATGCCAGTAGCCCACCATATGTCTCTCTCTCTGGCTCTAAACACATAGGGGTCTTTTGGCTTCCTTATTTCTCCAAATTGCACTCCCACTCATCAACATGCTCAGCAAATTCAAGCATCTTCCCCAGGATTTACCCTCCCCAGGATGCTAGAAGTGGGGAAGGAAGAAGGGTAATTTTAAATATTATTTTCCCTAGTCACTTAGGAGCCCACTAATGGGTAGTTGGCAATTATTTTTATGCATCACTGGGAAAAAGTATCTTTACATCCAAAGCAGCTGGATTTTTCTTTTTGTCCTGGATGAAATAAAACATCTAAGTGGCCCTAAGGGAACCCCAAACTAAATTATACTGTTGCAATCCCAGCAGGAAGCTGGAAAGGATAGGAGTTTATAGTTTGTGAGGCAGTGGTTCCTAATTCCAGGTGGGCAAAAGGATCTTTGCTCCACCTTTAAAATAGTAATGTTCGGCTCAGTGCCTATAGCTCAACCGGCTAAGGCGCCAGCCACGTACACCTAAGGTGGCAGGTTCGAATCCCCAGCCCAGACCCGCCAAACAACAATGAGGGCTGCAACCAAAAAATAGCTGGGCGTTGTGGTGGGCGCCTGTGGTCCCAGCTACTTGGGAGGCGGAGGCAGGAGACTTGCTTGAGCCCAGGAGTTGGAGGTTGCTGTGAGCTGTAATGCCACAGCACTCTACCCAGGGGGACAGCTTGAGGCTCTGTCTCAAAAAAAAAAAAAAAAAAAAAAGTAATGTTCCTGCCTGAGTCCTTGGCAATGGAACAAAATTAATAAACTAAGTTCACTCAAGGGTAAGCATTGATTCCTGGAGAGCAAATCTGTGCTCTTGGGCTTTTGGCAGGGGAATGGTGTTGACCAGAAGGAACTGCACTGTGCATTCTGCAAATCAGATTTTCAAATCACTTTTCTCACATTTTCCCAAAGGATAAATATTAAAAAATCACTGCTTGGAAATAAGAGATTACCTTCTTAGCCAGTTGGCAAGATACTGTGTGGCCCTCTACTTCTGCCTTATCCTGTGGGGCACATAACTATTGAAAAAAACAACCACCACTAAAACATGTCTTAGAAAGCAAAGCTCTAGAACAAAAGGAAAAAAACAAACATCAAGGATTTAAACCTGAACCTGAGGGTGGGGGATTGGAGGGGGAGTGCATCACATCCTGAGAGTGATTTGCCCCACAGAATCCTGCGCTTCAGCTTTGCCTGGGCGTTACTCTCTCTGCTTTGGTATTTTGGATTCTGGAGTCCTCCTTTCTTGTTTTCAGGCTTCTGGTGGAAGTGAATCATCGTTTCTAAGAAGTGAGGAGTGCCGTGATTCACAGGCAAGCTTATTGGACACCATCATACCAACTCCTGAGAAGGAGACCTGACTTTCAGGGTCTGGTGTCTACCATCTACTGAGTGATTCTGGCCTAAGTACTTATCATCTCTGAACCTCTGTTTCCGTACTGATAATACAGGAATTCAGCGGTTGTTTTGGGGAGCACTGTACTGATAAAGAGGAAAATGCACTGTGACCAAGATGTATAGAGTAGTTGTGTGCATTGTAACCAAGGTCTTAGCAATTCGGCTTTCTGAGCTGCAGAAAGTTGTGTGCATTGTAACCAAGGTCTTAGCAAGCCCTTTCTGAGCTGCAAGCAGAAATTGGTGCTGGTAGAATTGGGTGTGGAGTTCCAAGTCAAAGCTAGGAGTAAAATGTTTGAAGAACGGTTTTGAAAAGGGATGTGTCTTGGTGTGTGTTATTGAGTGCAGCACCATTTTTATCACTTTGTTCTACCTCTGGCTGCGTAAAGGCGCAGTCCCTACCTGAGCCTGCGACAGTTTTCTCCTGTCATGCCCACTTCTGCTCGGGAGCACACTTGCAGCCCCCGTCCAGACTCTGTCCTCTGGGCGCAGAAGCGGCTAGTTAGACTCGGTAACGGAGTCCTTGTAGGAAGGGTTTAGGCTGGTTGACGCAAAACCTCGGTGTTTTCTCTGCCGTTCCTTTTCTCTTCTACTTCAAGTAGGCAAACTGTAACCAAAGAATCAGTCTAGGGACCCGTGGGAGGGAGTGAACCAATGCATTCTAGAAGCGTCGTCATAGGATGTAGGGCCGTCAAGTGATCCCCAAAGGATCTTGCTTCTGGGTTTACGCAACTGTTTCAGGAGGCAAAACGGCTTCCTCGGTGACCCTCTGTCACCTGCACCTCGTCTCTGCAGGTAAGCCCTTCTCGAAGCAGAAAAGGGCAGGGTCCGGGAAGTCGCTCTTAGCACGCCCCACCTGCGCCCTCCGCTTCCCCACCAGGCTCCGATCTTCATTCATCCTTTGCCTTTTCCCCCAACGGGCTACAACTCCACTCTCTGGAACGCTCAGACAAAAAGGCTTAGTACGATCTTGGAAGCCTGTTTTCATAGGCCAGTTTCTAGAAAGCCTCAGCCACCTCTCAGCGCTTCGCCTCTCGCCGGAGGGGTCGGCGGGGCGGTGCCGGCTCGCGGCCCCGCCCAGTGCCCGGGTCCCCGGCTCCAGCCCGGAGCCCCGCGGCGCGCAGACCGGCGGGCGGGGAGCCCCAGTCCGCATGCTCAGTGGCC